GTGTTTACTTTTTTAGTTTTGATTTTGAGCAGCAAATTTGGAGTTACATATTGGTGCTCACCAGGAATGCATAAGCAAAATTGCACAAATTTTCACTTGAAAGAATAGTGGCGATCTTGGGATTTTTTTCTGTTCAATCTTCAAATAGTGTGTAAATTCAATACACTTCATCTTCAGCATGTTTAGTGCCACTTTTGTAAGTAACCACACCCCCGCCAGGCCACGCCCCTTCCGCTTTTTTCATCACTCGCCATTGCCATCTACGAATGTGCCAGATTGAGCAAAGCAGCCCCAGAATATGACGGAGCCTCTTCCATGTTTCACTGTTGGAACCGTGCTCTTTTCTTGATAAGTATGAAACATATGCCTCATTTTTATGTCTGTGAAAATGTGTTTTGCCAAATAGTTCTAGTTTTGTCTCATCAATAAGACATTATCCCAAAAGATTTGTGTCTTGTCAACATGTGAACATGCAGTTTGTAATATATACATATATAGAACTTATTTTCAACATTTATCTCCCAGAATCTCCTCTTTGGCTCGAATGACAAATGGTGCAATCTGATACTGATGGACCTTGATTTCGTAGTTTACCTTTAATATATTTGGAGGTTCTTCTGGGATCCTTTGTTAATATTCGCATTTTCGGTCTGTTCAATTTTGTTACGTTCAAGGATGTTGGCTCCATTCATGAGAATCCTACTTTTCTGAATAATATGTGCAACTGCAGTCACAGGAACATAATGCTGCCTGGAGATTGTCATGTAGTCTTTACTTTTAACGTCTCTGTCTATACTGTACTTTTCTTTTGATCTCCAGAGACAACTGTCTCCTTTGCTCCCGTGGTCAGTGTGAAGTGTGTGACTACCATCCATGAATACGCTATCTGATTGCTTACAATTTTGAAGAAACCTGTGATGCTAATGAGAAGACACATCTTTGTTGAATTCTTTTCGATCTTTTCTCAGGGTACCATCATTTTTATCCAGGTTGTTTAAAAAAAAAAAAAATTCAATTGAACCACAATTAATGAATTTTCATTATATTTTTATTAATTATTATGTTGTCAGATTCATGTTATTTCTGTTACCACTGTGGGTTTTTCTTTCATTAGGTAAGGGGACAATAATTTTGCCCCAGTGTGCAATAGGGACCGAGTATACACATATTTTTACTCTTTGCAGGCGAGCCCAGCAGGGGCCCACTGTGTTTGGCTCTCTCTCTCTCTCTCTCTCTCTCTCTCTCTCTCTCTCTCTCTCTCTCTCTCTCTCTCTCTCTCTCTCTCTCTCGCTCCCCCCCTCCCAACATGCAGTGATACATACAGTAATTTTGTCTTTGTTAATTGATTATGGTATTCTAATTGTAACATTTTATTGATTAATTGTGATAATACACCAGTGTCATGAAATTTTTCATCCATTTTCTATACTTCTCGGCGCTTATCCTGTTCTGGGTTGTGAGCCTGTCCTAGTTGATTTTAGGGCGGAAGCCACGCTGTACCCTGGATTAGGTCCCCGTCGATCACAGGTCACAGAGACAGATAACCATTCACACACACTCCCATTCACATCGTCATTGAGTGAGAACTGAACCCACGTGGCCTGCACCGAAGTTCGGTGAATCTACTGTACCACTACACGATCAGCGACCGGGAGATTGTTATTTGCGTAATGACTGAATCAAGATTTTAAACACTATCACCATGTTTATTGTGCCTTGACCAAGGCTGTCAATGTGACCATGTTAATTTATGTGTATTTCACAAATAGCTCCGTAATGACAGTTTTCCGCATACGGATTCAAAGATGCAAACTCTCCCAATTTTGCCAGGAGCATCCATGATCACTCAGGACATCACAGGCATCTGTGAGGTCATTGTGATCCTCCAGAACAAATGTACCATGGCCCATGTGATGAATTACCGAGCCTTAAAAATAATGTTGAACGATGTTTTAAAAAATGGTTGCTAGGGGATTACCCAAAGTGAAATACAGGATCAAAAAAATGATTCACAGCAGGAGTAATGACATTTGCCGCGACCCATTGCGGAATCATTGTTTTGAGGGAGAGAAAAGTGAGACGTTTGAGCGAGATTTTTATTTCTTTTTGTGGTTGACACCAGGCAATAGGCATGGACTAAAGTGTGAGAAAATAATGAAGAACTTACAGTCATTTATATTTTCAGTGTCAATTGGAATGCCTTCATGAATAGAAATTCAATCTAAGTCAATTTTATACCTTGCATGTGTCCTCTCAGCAGACACATGCGTCACAATACAATACCGTTAGATGACAATGCCACTTCCATCCCTGTTTAGCTGTGCCTGGAAATAGCACATATACACGCTATGGTGATGAGTTCAAATTCTAAGGAGTAGCTTGCCGTCGGGAAACAGTTGGGGTTCTTCTTGAGGACGGGCATTCTCAGGGCTACGGGTATGGTCTCAAGACCAAAAGCGTTGTCCAGTCCTCTGCAGGAGTGACTCGTGTGGCAACTGGCTTCATGTATCACTTGAGGTACCCGGTTCAAGTCAATGTTTTCACTATGTATAGGGAGCAGAGTAAGACCAAAAATAGGTAGTGAGCATTCGCGCAGGCATGCCTCTGTCAGCCACTTAATTAGGCACACCCGCAAAGTCAAAAATCCAATACAGGTGTGTTTAGTTATCCAATATGACAGACCTCAAAGTAAGAACGAAGAGATTAACACTGACACCAGAACAAAAATAAGCATCTTCTTTGGCAGGGTTCTAGATGCAAATGCCACATCAGATCTCATTAGATTGTGTTGCTGTATACCATTGCATGTAGCACACACAGTCGTTATTTACACTGGTCAACAGCAAAATTGAATCAGAGATGGCTTTATGCGTCTTTAATGGCTTTCAGTGTATTTTTGACGGTGATTTAAAATAAATGTCTTGACGAGCGCCCATTCGGAATTTGCGCAAAAACATTCATAGAGAAAAAAAAAAGTTTGTTGACCAGTATTAGAAATCAGTTTAGTCTTTCATGTTGAGACCAATACTCACATGTAATTCCAGGGGGCAAGACTGCGCTCATTGATGTGACTGGGCATATTGACCAACTGGCTGTGGTAATCATGCAAGCTATATGTGCAGAATGATTCATCGATACATTGGCTCTGCAGTGGCATAGCCCCGCACCAGTGGACAGACAGCAGGCACAGCAAAAATGCTCGCAGCAGCTGGACACAGAAAAAAATAGAAGCGAGATTTGGTTTTGCTGTAGATTAGTAATACGGTATTAGCTGTGGTTTCCGACAAGCCTGCACAGAATAAAATTTATCAATGACAACATGAATGTAAATGTCACATACCTGAATCCTTTCCATTTGTGTTTTCCAGGGGGAGGACAGGACACTCTAATCTAAGATTAAGCCTTGTTGAAGATGTTGAAAACTGCTTTTATTTTGTTCCTTATGCTGTTGTTTCTTTGGTCTTCACTGCATCCTTTGGCTGGAGTTTTGACAACTGTTCTTGTTGTTGCCCTTTTTATTTGTCTGTGTGTGTATGTGTGTGTGTGTGTGTGTGTGTGTGTGTGT